ATTATGTCTGCAACTTACTCTCAAATGGTCCAGGAAAAAAAAGAGTTCTTGTCCTGTTCTTGCAACTTTCTGTTGCTTAAAATTATTTCAGAATAAAAATGCCTTTAGCATTAAACACAAAAGTTTAGAGTTGTAGCACTGCACTCACCTGATATGAGAGCCAGAGGGGTTGATTCTCAATGTCTGTTGTGTTCAATGTTAATTGAATTAATCCAGATGAGATTATCATTTCCCACATTTTTGCTGATTCATAATTTACGTATCTTACCCAGACAACAAATACTTACATTTCTAAGTAGGCAGTAGTAGGCCCCGACATCAGCTAAGACTGGGTTGAAACTGTCCCCTGCTGCCATCAATTGCTAGCTGTGGAATCTTAACACCCCTGTGTCTCAGTTGTCTCATCCATGAAATGCAGATAATAATACCCGCCTCATGCAGTTGTTATGAGAATGAAGCTTGATAACTTTTGCAAAGCATTTAGACACTGAGTGGACCATATGCAATATTCAGTAAGTGTTAGCTGGTATTAACTAATATTATTCTGTTGCTCACATAGCTCTATAGTTAAATAAAACATAAACATCATTATATTGATGGCAGTGCAGACCCTTTAAGAGCATTCCTCTGTTATGTCAGCTAATTTTACTTTTCAAATATGTGCCTTCTAGAGAATTTTGAAACGTATGAGTTGAAAATATAGACGGGGAAATACAAAATTAAAGACTGGATTTTTTTTTATAAGAGACAGCTAATTTTTTTTAAAGTTAACTTAAAGCCTTCCTGAGCTGAGAAAAATAAATACATCATCTGTATTAATCAGTTATTGCCATAATAATGCTGTGCAATAAGTCACCCCAAAATGCATCCCCTACCACAAAAATTTTTATTCTCATGCTCACAGGTCTATAAGATAACTGTGGTCCAGCTGATGTAGGCTGGGCTCAGTGGGGTGGTTCTACTGCAAGCTGTGAGTTGCTTGGGTTCAGTTCCAGACAGTGACTTGGGTTCAAACTTGCTCCATGTATCTCTCATCCTCCTTAAGCCAGGCGCTACAGGGGCATCTTCTTGTCATGGCAAATGTCAGGAACACAAGAAACAAATCCTTTTATGCAGCACATGTAAATCCTTTGCTCACATTCTCTCCACTAGCATTTCATTAGCTAAATTAAGTCCCATGGTCAAGTCCAACATCAATGGCATGGAAGTATTTTTTGCTCACAATGGGAGGACACTGATATATGTGTCTGTCTGTGCCCAGAAAACTATAGACCTTTAGAAGAAAAGACAACAGTATACCAGCATGAAGTACACATCAGATTGTTTCCCCCATATAGGGATGGATTTGTTCAGACTTATGTCTCCTTTATCTTCCTATCACCATGTAGAGTTCACAAAAGGAACTACAAATATCAGGATAGCATTCCGTGATCATGTGGTTGAGATTTTGCCCTTGCAGAACTCTCCCATGTAGAATTAAACATGGATGGCTTGCTTATCATAGTCATGTTGCAGCAGGAGCCTCTTATTTCTATAAAATTTCTGAAATATTCTTGCAAACAGTACACACTCGATAATTATTAGTTGAAAGAGTAGGAGGCAGAGTACTAATACGGGATAAATCAGAAGGACACAACCAGTAGAATTCTCACAGGTTTCTGTGCTTTTTCAGCATGGGAAAGTAAAGTGTTATATTACACTCAACATGAATGCTATGGAAATTTATCATCTGAAGTAAATATGTGATCTTAAAGGAATATTAACTAAGAACAGTTAGCTTCTATGTGACATTATTTAAGCTAACAAAATAGCCTCGCACTTCCCTGTATTTCTTCACCTTTATCGTAAACCTTTTAAAATCCCTTCTAAAATCCCTTCTAAAAACCTCAAGTTTACACATCCCTCTGCTTAACTTTTTATTGTTTATGTGCTTCCTGTGACGATAGCTAGACAAACAAGGCTGATAAAAAGAAAGCTTGTCCTTATCAAAGACTTACGGGTAACTGTGTTAATGTGCCTTGCTTTTTCTACCAGTGGAAGCCCCCTATTTCACTAAGAACTCACCCATTTGCAGCATTTAAAATGGATGGAAAGTTCTAAGCCAGCCAAAATGTCCTTCTAAAAGAATGAAATGAATGTTAATCTAATTGCCCAAGAATGCGTACGCTGGGCTTGGAAAATAAGCCTTCTACATTGGTTCCCCCTGCTGGATTTGAGGATGCACTGTCTTGGAAATTGATGAAAGCAATATAACTGGACCTTTTTATCTAAGGGCATGTTACTGGAATGGCAAATCCAGCATTCTTCTAGAAAGCATTCGCTCTGTGATAAACGTGCCAAGTGTTTCTTGAGTTTGCTTCCCAAGGGCAGAAATACTGCAAATAGAAAACTGTGCCTCTGAGACTCAAAGTAGAAAACAAAAGCATGCCACTCAGATGTCTGTTCTAGCGAGAGGGGTGGCACACAAGGGAACTAAGGATAAAAACTCAGAAGCAGTAGATTAGGTAAACTGCCAGACTGGTTGTTACTATCAGAAAGCTGGATTTCGGGGTCTGACCATGAATTTCCTTTTATGCATTTACAACTATTAGAACCAGTTCCTTACATTTCTGTAACTTAATTTCTGTTTTTCTTTCCCTTCTTATCTTCTTCTCTTCATAAGAAATCTCCCTACCTCTACTCTGTAGAAGATGTGGTAACCAGACTAATTTTAAAGGAAACTTGTAACCTGCAAACGTCAGGGCTATTGTGAAGTGTGTTAAAAGGTCTGTCTGTTGAGGGAGACAGAGAAGCTGGCAGATCTTTCCTGCTTGACTCTGAATCCATTTGGTGGGAGGAAAGGGACAGATACTGGCTAAGTTTTTGGCACATGCTCCTGCACCAACTTGGCCTTGTTAAGACAGCAAGAACAGCAGAAGTGACTATTTCCTCCCTAGAGCAAAGGCCAATGCTGTTTCCTTCATGGAGAACCAGAACAGGGAAAATGTCAGATAATCATGTGGTACTTGTAAATACGCCACTGAATTTAAGTGGCATACAGAGCCAACCCAGCTTCTCGTATTATATTCAGGCCAGGTGTGGTGTCTTACGCCTGTAATCCCAGCACTTTGGGAGGCTGATGTGGGAGGATTGCTTTAGGGCAGGAGTTCAAGACCAGCCTAGGCAACAAAGCAAAACCCCGTCTCTCCAAAAAAATAAAAAATTAGTCAGGCTTGGTGGCATGTGCCTTGTAGACCCAGCTGCTCAGGAGGCTGAGGTGGGAGGAATGCTTGAGTCCAGGAGTTAAAGGTTGCAGTGAGCTGTGAACATGCCACTGTACTCCAGCCTGGACAACACAGCAAGACTCTGTGACTATAAAAAACAAAAGAAAACAAAAAGTAGTTATATTATGTTCACCATCACAAACGACACAGGGCTAAGCCAACACAGGGGATCCTGTACATATATTTATTGACTGCATTCTTTGCCAACCTCAGAGTATAACTCCTTTTTCTTTTTTTATCCTTCTTTTATAAACTTTTTTTTCCCCTATTTAGGTCAAATCTAAATGTTTCCCCATCTGAAACTTCAATAGGTTGTTTTCCAGAGCTGCAGGTGAAATGCTTCCCCACTGCTTCTGAGGCTCTTCAGCTCTGCTACTAGTGGCCTCCTCTTGGGAGGATTCTCTTGCCTCGGAATTAAGAGTTGATAGGAGGAGAAGATGGCGGGTCAAAGCATTCAAGCAAAACAACGTTAAGTGATTCAGGCCTGCTCGTGGGTCAGGAATTTTTAAAGGGTTCAGCTGGATGTCTCTTCTGCTCCTTGTGACACTGGCTGAGGTCACTGCTCAGCTGCATTTGGTTGGCAGCTGGCTGGGTGGAAAGGTTCAAGAAGGCTTGGCTCACAGGTCTGGCCCTACATGCTCCCCACACATCTTTTCTGTCTCTCTCCGTGTGTCTCCCTCTATTTGGCAGGCCAGCCTCAGCTTCTTTACAGCATGGAGGCTGGCTTCCCAGGGGTAGAAAGTAGAGATTGCCAGTTCTTGAAGGGTAGCTTGGAGGTCCCAGAATATCACTTCCATCATATTCCATCATATTTGTCTAAAGAAGTTTCACAGCCAGTCAGGACTTAAAGAGAAGGAATGGGCTCCACTCCTTCAGAGACAAAGCATTTGTAGCCATCTTTAACCCACATGAATATAGGTTGGAAACTTCTGCTTCTATTTTCTGTACTTCACTATATGTTTTATACTTTGTTCTTATGTCTTTGTATAAATTCATCATTTTTATTTGCTTCATTTTCCAAACCAAAAGCAATTGGGAGACCCTCCCAGCAATGACTTATAAAATCATGCCTATACTTAACTACTTAACCTTCAAAAAGTTTATTATTTCCACAGATAAATCCACAGATATAGTAGCTATTTTAAGAAAAAAGAAAGTTTTAGAAAGTTGCTAATATACAGCCTTCATTGCACCTGACCAGTTATTTTTCATATAATTATATATGATAGCACAAATTCAACCAACATAATCTGTTCAAGACAAAATATTTTATAGCATAGGTATGTTAGACTGCCATATGCAAGTTAAGTGAAAATTGACCCTTTTTTGCAGCATATATCACACAGAGAAGTAAAGGGCAAGAAACTTAGCCAACCTTCCTTACACAGTGCATGTTACTTAAGTCAAGGGAGAAAAGTGGACTGGAGTTGAAGTTTGTATTATATTTTGGGAAATGCCGAGCAAGGAGAGACTTGTTACCAGGACCACTGAGTGAATTTTGTTTACCGCAGTTAAACATTTCATCTAGCAAATCATGTGAGAAGGGATGAGTATAAATGCACCTATTTATGTAGGTAATTTTTCTGTTTCATGCCTCTGATTCATCCCTCTGCCTGGCTTTATGGGCAGTCATGCTACATTGCTTACAATTAATTTCAGTGCTGCATATTAGCCATAAAGAGATATTTCACAAGTTGACCTGATGCATTTTTTTTTCCTCTGTGATTTTCTTGAAAGATGAGAATGGTCCAGAGGAAAAGCAAAGTGTGGAAGAAATGGAAGGACAGAGCCAAGATGCAGGTAGGCTCGGATTTCTTTTGAGAAGCTGCGTAGGCCTTATCCGCAGAGGTGAACAATAACTTCACTCAATATTATTATCTGAAAATGCTTATAGCTTTCACCAGATGAATTCCAGTGTTCATTCAGGTCTCCCTCAGGAAGCCACCATCTCCGATCACTATAAGTTGACTGTGCTTTCAAACAGAGTGGTACATTTTCACACATCCTTCACCAATTCCATTTTCTGCCCTATAACAGTTTGCCTGGTAAAATTCTAAGAGGGACGGGCGGAAGTTGGAAGTGCCAAGCCAGAGCTTGGCTGAGTTAGGGTAAGCTCAAATTTGTACATTTAGCTTGAGGGAAAAAATGAAATAAAAACTGATTAAAGGAAATGAAGAAGAGGCTTGCCCTGTACAGCGAGTAGAATGTTCTTTAGTGTATTGCATTAAATTTTGAAGAGCTATGCTTCAGGTTATTTCTCTGCATATTGTAGGAGATGGTGCGATGGGCCTGACTACCCCACACACAGAGCTCTAAGTAAGATCTAAACCCTTCCTGACATCCCCTCTGTTCACTAAAGGACAGATGTGTCCATTGAAAGTTTATAGATTCCACACTGTAGATTATAAATTGAACATTTTTAAATAAAATAGCACTTAAGACTCAAAAGGGATTGAAGTCACCGGTGATTTATTATCTCTTCCTATCCATTTTTATACTCAGCCATGCTCTCCTTTAAAAGAATGATAGGCACAATCATTCACTTACCAACATAACCAACAAAAAAATAAAAATAAAAATCCCCGTGCCCTTTAGCTTCCCAGTTATTCTCCCAATTGTAATGAGGCCCATGAAGGGCCACTTTTGAAACAGTGAGCCCTACCGTTTGCCAAGCACATCCTAGGCCATATGCTGAACTCTTGGAATTAAACCAGGTAGTGTGATAAGTTTTTCGCTGTAAAATTCTTGCATTAACCTTGGAGATGTTGCTAGGGGTCTGGAAGCTTTTATTATTAACCTGGAAGACGAATTGAAGAAGGCCAATCAGAGAAAGCACTGAAGCAAAGCAGCAAGGACTTTGTGTACCTGCACCTGGGTCGGCCGGCGTCCTTTGCTGCAACATAGTGCTTGCAATAAAATGAATTTCTGATGCAGAAAACTGTTGTTATCCAACCCTCCCCCACCCCCAACCCACACATTATGCTCCATAGCAGATGAGTGAAAAGCTGTCACTGTTTTTATTGTTTGGGGCTGACAAGTATTAGTCGACTAACTGCCGACAGCTGAGGCCATTCTGTGACTGTGGAGCTTACACAGGTTTTATTCACTCACTACTCTGTCCCAAACTGTTTTTTTTATTTTTGAGACGGAGTCTCACTCTGTCACCCAGGCTGGAGTGCAGTGGTGCAGTCTCAGCTCACTGCAACCTCCACCTCCTGTGTTCAAGCGATTTTTGTGCCTCAGCCTCCCAAGTAGCTGGGACTACAGGCACCCACCACCATGCCCGGATAGTTTTTTTATTTTTAGTAGAGACAGGGTTTCACCATGTTGGCCAGGCTGGTCTCGAATTCCTGACCTCAAGTGATCTGCCCGCCTAAGCCTCCCAAAGTGCTGGGATTATAGGCGTGAGCCACCACACCCAGCCCCGAACTGTCCTTATTGACAAAGATTGTTTCCCATCCCTGTACATACATGCACACACACACACGCACGCACACGCACACACACATGTATGCATGCACTCGCATTTGCCTGTGTTTGATTTATTCATCCTTTTCCCTTTAACCAGTTGAGAATAAGCAGTTTGTAGATTTGAGATCCTTTTGCCTGTGAGAAGGGAGTGGTAGAATGTCAGCCCTCTTCTCCAGCCCTTGAATCTGATAGCGTTGTCACCGCAATAGGGGCACTTCTCAATGTGAAGAGGAGTCCTAAATGCATCCCCGAGTGACTCACCTTGCTCTTCCAAGTGAGCTTGCCGGCTGGCACAGAGGCCAATGGCAGAGTCCACCTATAATCCTGGCCAGCGTCAACATACATTGTTACGTTCACACTGCTCATTTCATATCCTCCCTAATCAGAGCTCCGATAAATCGAAGATGTGGTTATGGGTTGTTAAAGCTCTTTTGACCTGCTGGTATTTTTCCAAAATAAAAGTATCTTATTTTCATTCAATATAATCTCCAGCTTCAGTTTTGATTATATAGCTCTGCAGGCCTCTTACACGTCATGAAAAAACACAATCTTAAAACAGTGCAATCCAGCAGTTTTGACTGTTGTCATGATCAAATCAGATCAAAGTTGTAGATAACATTCTTCCAAAAAATTTAACAAATACATATCAAGGGTTCATTGCGTCATAGGCACCGTTCCAGGCACTGAATAAACAAACAATCAGTAAAAACAACATCCCTGTTTCTTTGAAATTTATATTCTGGTGGGGGTTCCAAACAATAAACAAATAAAAATGATAAAAACATCAATAGTGATAAATGCCTTGCTGAGAAATAAGGAAACATAGAAGGAATGCCCAGAAGGCAACTTTCCAGTGCCTGGGTTTGGGATGGACTCTCTGAGGAAGTGATAGTTAAAATGAGATCTAAATGATGAGATAGTGACAGAGAATTATGTTCCAAAGGACACCTCACCTGAAAGTAATAGTCCATGCACCATGAACAAAAGATAGGCTAGAAAATAAGTGATTTGTGATTTGCTTCCAAATGTGTGTTAGTTTTCATGCATATATGAGTTATCTTTAGTTCCCTGACTCTGCTACTACATAAAAAACTGTGAATATGTGTGTGTGCATATGTACTATATATATAGTTTATATGTATAAATATACCATATATGTATAAATATACTATATAAAACTATAGAGTCCATGTAGTATATATACACATATGTAATGTGTGTGTGTGTGTGTGTGTATATATATATATAGTTTTTCATGTACTATCAGGGAATATATATACATAACTATGTATATAAGTATATATCACTATTATATATAAGTATATAATTATACATATTTTCTGCTACTACATGAAAAACTATATACACACGATATATGTATATGTATACTACATATACTCTATAGTTTATATATAGTATATTTATACATGTAAACTATATATACTATATGTATATAACTATATATAACTATTGTATATAACTGTATAACTATACATATTCCCTGCTACTACATGAAAAACTATATATACACTCTATATGTATATGTATACTACATATACTCTATAGTTTATATATATTTGTACATATAAACTATATATATAGTGTGTGTGTATATATATATACACATACGCACTCTATAAATACTTTTTTCTATAGTAACAGGGTTATGGAACTAAAGATAACTCATGTATGCATAAAAACTAACACACATTTGGAATCAAATCACAGATCACGTCTTTTCTAGCCCATCTTTTGTCCAAAACGTGTGTGTGTGTGTGTGTGTGTGTGTGTGTGTGTGTATGTATATTCCTTTTCCAGTTATCAGGTATTAAACATTGCAAATGATTTTAGCAATCCTGCTTGTCTAGATTTACTGTTTGAATGGGAGGGAGTAGACTAGTTAGCTCTTATCCTGGAGGCCAAACATGACTAGAGTCACTAGGGGCTGATGACACTGAGAAGAGAGGTCTACTCTAATGTGGTTAATTGGTGCTGTGAGAGGAACAGAGAGTTCCACGTCCTTAGTCCCCATTTTCCCCTTCTGTTCTCGGGTGACATGAAAGTTCCTGGTGGCTGCTGGTGCCCTGTGCCAAATGCTCCCCTTCTTCCCGGCCTCTGTGCTGACAGCCATCAGAGCTGCTCCCTGCAGTTTGACAGCCTGGCATAACGGAGCAGTAGTGCTGTGCTAAGAAAAAAAAAAAACTTTACAAACACACACACAAAAGCACTTTGTAAGAACTTGCAAGGATATACTTTCTTTCACAATCTGTTACCAAGAAAAATAATATACCATCCTTTGAGGAATGAGGAAGAAACAAAATGCCAAAGGATACTACTAGCAACAAGTAGCATTTTTCACCAAAAAATAGATTGTAGCCCATCTCTGACTTAACTGAAAGTTCCTGTTTCACTAACTATAAAAGAGATTCCCAAAGCACTAGCCCCTTCAAAGAGCATTCAGTGTATTCAAGCGTGCTGCAGGCTTATGCTTTCTGTGGTGGAGAGTGGAGGGAGGTGCAGGGCAGGAAAGCCACAGCCTGACTTCTGGAAGGATGAGCTCTGAGGCAGTGTTTCTTTTTCTGCTTTATAGATGGTGTCAACACTGTCACGGTGCCTGGCCCCGCTTCCGAAGAGGCAGTGGAAGACTGTAAAGATGAAGGTATGAGGCCACTAACTGCATCTAATAATTGCAGACTCTTAGACCATTTGGGCTTGTTTATATGGAAAAACGAGGCAGCAAGTCAAATATAACTAGGTTTTCTTAAGTGTCTCTGTTTCCAATACAATCGACTATCCCACCTACTCTCTTTTATTGCATATCTAGCCTTTATAGAAAACACACACACACACACACACACACACACACACACACACATATATAACATTTACATTTGTTCCTTTGGAAAATAACTATTTATGAAATGAGAGAATGACCAGAGAAATTATGTTTAGAGACGTTTATTTAAAACACCAGAATTAGTCAGTTCTGCTCTTTACAGCCACTCATCAGGAAAAGGTTTGAAAGAGTGGCATTTGAGAACCACCAACCAGGGAGCACCATTTATCAAAAAAGAAAGAAATGTTTGAAAGGCATCCTTAGAAACAAATCTTTGGCAAGAGCATCATTCTCCATTCTGTCGACAGTTACTCTGAGAAAATGTTGCTGACCCAAGTATTTCCAGAAAAAGTAAAAAAAAAAAAAAAAAAAAAAAAAAAAAAAAAAGAAATTACTCTTTAGAAGACAATTTGAGGAAGGAAGAAGTAGTGGAGACATTGATGTTGGGACGCTAGAATTAAAAAATATATATCTAAAGGAAAACAAAATAGTCCTTTTTCTCTCTGTCTCCTGGTTCATTGGCAAGTCCCCAGATGAAAAGGTAATATAGGCATACCTTACTTTCTTGCACTTCATTTTACTGTGCTTTGAAAATACTGCATTTTTTACAAATTGAAGTTTTGTGGGAACCCTGCATCAAGCAAGTCTGTTGGCACCATTTTCCCAACAGCATGTCCTCATTTCATGTCTCTGTGTCACGCTTTGATAATTCTCACAATATTTCAAAGCTTTTTACTATTATTCTATTTGTAATGGTGATCTGTGATCAGTGATTACTACTATAATTGTTTTGGGGTGCTATGTACTATGCCTATAAAAGATAGTGGACTGACTTAGTAAATGTGGTTCTGACTCTTCCACTGACCCACTATTCCCCTGTCTGTCTCCCTTTTCTCAGGCGTCCCTATCCCCTAAAACACAACAATATTGGAATTAGGCCAATTAATAGACCTACAATAGCCTCTATGTGTTCACGTGATAGGAAGAGTTGCATACTAAATCATACTTTAAATCAAAAGCTAGCTATGTTTAAGTTTAGTGAGGAAGGTATGTTGAAATCTGAGATAGGCTGAAATCTAGGCGTCTTGTGCCTAGTTGTGAATTCAAAGGAAAAGTTCTTGAAGGAAATTAAAATTGCTACTCCAGTGGACACATGAATGATAAGAAACTGAAACAGCCTTATTGCTGATAAGGAGAAAGTTTTAATGGTCTGGATGGAAGATCAAACCAGCCATAACATTCCCTTAAGCCAGAGCCTAGTCCAGAGCAAGGTACTAGATTTCTTCAATTCTACTGATGCTGAGAGAAGTGAGAAAGCTGCAAAAGGAAAGTTGGACCTTAGCAGAGGCTAATTCATGAGGTTTAAGGAAACAAGCTGTTTCCATTACATTAATGTGCAAGGTGAAGCAGCAAGTACTGATGTAAAAGCTGCAGCAAGTTATCCAGAAGATCTAGCTAAGATCACTGATGAAGGTGGCTACACTAAGGAACAGATTTTCGATGTAGACAAAACAGCCTTCTGTTCGAAGATGAGGCCATTTAGCATTTTCATAGCTAGAGGGGAGAAGTCAATGCCTGACTTCAAAGGACAAGCTGGCTCTCTTGTTAGGGGCTAATGCAGCTGGTGACTTTAAGTTGAAGACAATGCTTGTTTACTATTCCAAGAATCGTAGTGCTCTTAAGAATTAGTCGAAGGCTACCCTACCTGTGCTCTGTAAATGGCACAACAAAGCCTGTATTATAGCATGTCTGTTTATAGCATTGTTTACTGAATATTTTAAGCCCACTGTTGAGACCTACTCAGAAAAAAAATGATTCTTTTCAAAATATTACTGCTTATTGACAATGCACCTGGTCTTCCAAGAGTTATGATGGAGATGTACAAGGAATGTAATGTTGTCTTCATGCCTGCTAACACATCTATTCTGCAGACAATGGATCAGGGAGTAATTTTGACTTTCAAGTCTTTCTTTTTAAGAAATATGTTTTCTAACACTGTAACTGCCATAGATAGTGATGTCATCCTCTGATGAATCTGGGCAAAATAAACTGAAAATATGGAAAGGATTGACTATTCTAGATGACATTAAGAATATTCATGAAAGAAGGTCAAAATATCAACATTAGCAAGGGTTTGAAATAAGTTAATTCCAACCCTCATGGATGACTTTGCGGGGTTCAAGACTTCAGTGGAGGAAGTAACTAAAGATGTGGTAGAAATGTCAAGAGAACTAGAAGTTGAGACTGAAGATGTGACTTAACTACAATCTCATGAGAAACTTGAACAAATGAGAAGTTGCATCTTATTTATTAAAAAAAGAAAGTGGCTTCTTGAGATGGAAGCAGGTTTGAAAGTATTGAGTTCAATTTTTTGTTTGTTTGTTTTTGAGATGGAGTTTCGCTCTTGTTGCCCAAGCTGGAGTGCAATGGCGCAATTTTGGCTCACTGCAACCTCTTCCTCCCAGGTACAAGCAATTCTCCTGTCTCAGCCTCACAAATAGCTCAGATTACAGGCATGCACCACCACAACCAGCTTTTTTTGTTGTTTTTTTGCTTTTTGTTTTTTTTAAAGTAGAGATGAGCTTTCACCTTGTTATTCAGGCTGGTCACTAACTCCTAACCTCAGGTGATCCACCCGCCTCGGCCTCCCAAAATGCTGGGATTACAGGCAAGCAACACTGTGCCTGGCCTTACTCAGTTCAATTTTAAGATAATTCCTACTGTGCATAAAATGCCATCAAACAGCATTGCATGCCACAGAGAAATCTTTTGTGAAAGGAAGAGACAATCATTGTGGCAAGCTTCATCATTGTCTTATTTTAAGAAATTACCATAGCTAGCCAGGCATGGTGGCTCACACCTGTAATCCCAGCACTTTGGGAGGCCAAAGCGGGCGGATCATGAGGTCAGGAGATTGAGATCATCCTGGCTAACATGGTGAAACCCGGTCTCTACTAAAAATACAAAAAATTAGCCAGGCATGGTGGCGGGCACCTGTAGTCCCAGCTACTCGGGAGGCTAAGGCAGGAGAATGGTGTGAACCCAAGAGGCAGGGCTTGCAGTGAGCCAAGATCATGCCACTGCACTTCAGCCTGGGCGACACAGCGAGACTCCGTCTCAAAAAAAAGAAAGAAATTACCATAAGTACCTCAACCTTGAGCAACCAAGTGGTGGCCATCAACATTGAGTGGCCAGTAGTAACCATCAACATTGAGGCAAGACCCTCCACCAGGAAAAAGATTACAAGTTGCTGAAGGCTTAGATGATGATTGGCATATTTTAGTGATAAAGTATTTTTCAGTTAGAGTACATTAACTGTTTTTTAAGACATAGTGTATCTAAAAATATAACTGATGTCAAATACCCACATAGGCTCTGATGGGAAACTCTAGGTCATCTCAGTGAGATAAATAAATATGATCAAATGCGATCAGAGTGAAAAGACAGAAAGTGGTGTTCATCTTAAGCAAAAATTTTGGTCATACCAATCATTTAGTTTGTGCTAAAAATTTTAAAGTGTCATGAAGTTGAGTGGCAGAGTTTAAGAAACATGAAAGAGAGATAAATTAATTTGAATGTGACCATGTCTCAGGCTGGGATTTTTCCTGTTGAGTTGTTTAGTTTGGAGATATCGCACCTTCACAGAAGCACACTGTTTGTGATGTTTCTTGATGCTTTTAGGAACTCACACCATTAATTGCTTATGCCAGGATTCATTTTTTGGAATACTTTTAGGATTTTTTTAACATAAAACTTTTAATGATGGTAACTCCATGAAGGAGTTCTGTTATGTATCACAAATGCAGTTCCTAAATGTGAAGTTTTATGAGTATTACTGAAATAAGCCATTAATATCCATTAACCTATTTACTTAGGGAAAATAGAAATGTTTTAAAATCCAAACTAGTATGCAGTCTTCTTTCAATTAAAAATAGAATGCCTAGGGTATGATTTTTGCCTTTTTCTTCTGAAATAGCATGTACAGAAAACCACTGTTTTTAGTTGATTATCAGTTCAAAGCTTAGACCAGCTTAGAACAAGTGTCTAATGCTGTTGGAACTATTGTCTTGACTGATAGATACCTAGCTTAGAATAAAAAAAAAATCAATTGAAATCCTTCAAGATTGAGGTCAAGATAAGGTTAAAAGGCAGTCATATGTGTTGAGGATTCATTTCAAACATTCTCCATTATTAGCTTTCATGCAGAAATATCTCTTCTCTGTGACATCTGGGCTATTTTAGAGCTCTGCAGTTATAAGATTGCTTATAGAAATGCTCATTACACTCTCCAGTTTAAGTGGCAGAACATTTTTGCTGATCAAATGTCCTGAAGAAGCCCTTGCTCTCTTGAGTTTGTTTTCAGACTTTGATCCTGACCAAGCATCTTCTTGGGCTTTAGAAGCACTGATATTATGGACAGGTCTTTTTTTCTCTTTCTAATAAAACTCCCAAGAATTTTGAGACTCATTTGGTTATTTCCAGCTTTGCTTGTCAGTGGGCTGGCTTTACATTTGTTATAACCTTAGTTTCCACAGGAAATTAGCATCTTCTAGGGTGCGAAGATTGAAAACAAATAAACAAAAAATAAGATGGCTAATGTCACTTTGGAGACCAGATATTTAAAAAATTCGAACAGTCATGTGAAGGTTGAAGAATTTCAAAAGGAAGTATTGTAAACCAGGTATCCTCTATGCCAGCAGTTTTGTTTTAATGTTCTAGACATATTTTCCACTGGGAACCAGGAACCCATGCTTGCTGCCTGCTTACCCCCATGTACTTGCTAACTGTGCCAGCTGCCAACAGAAGGAGATGCAACCGACTGG